GGGGGGGGGGGGGGGACCAGCTACTCCAGCCCACCCCACAACAAAGAAGCTGTCCTCTGCCTCTAATTTTCTACAAGCATCTCTAAGTCTACTAGCACTCTCCTTATCAGTTCATTCATTTGCTCATTCACTCAACACACTCAAATCTTTAGTGAGTGCCCGCCAAGAGCCAGTGAATGCCATGTGCCAGGCACCAAGGACCAAGAGCTTCAATGCCTTTTATTCAACACTCAGTCTTGGCTACAGGTTCTACACTTGATCATGAAATAAACACTTGCATGAGTGACCCACTGTTTCCCACTGGAATTGATGTAAGGAAAAGAAAGCGAAAACCTCAAGTTAGGCACAGTGATACGTCTTTAATGACAGGATAGAGGAAGCTGTAAGAACACCCACTGACTAATAAAAAGGCAGTCGCTGCAGCAATGAGCTCTGTCATCTCATCCTGTTCTGAGGCCCACAGGCCAGAAGGAACACATCGGTGTGCTGGGGAAACATTTCACACTCCCAAAGACAATTTTAAGTAAAACTCTATATATTATGATCCACGACTATAAAACACAGGGAACACAGTCCTCCTGACACCTTGATTCTACCCCAGCAAGACTCATTTCAGACTTCTGACCCCCTGAACTGCAAGAGAACACATTTGTGTTATATCACTAAATTTGTGGTAACATCCTATAGCAACAAGAGAAAACTAATACGCTCATTTATTCAACATATTTTTATTAGGCACGATGACCATATGTCCAGCACTAAGATAGGCCTGGGATACAACAGAGGACATGCTGGACACAACCCCACCTTACAACGTCCAGCTACATCCATGCTGTCCCTGGCCACAGCTTTCACTGACCACTGGCCCTACAAACATTTCTAAATAAAACGAGTGGTGCCTCCTTCACAACCACATACCTTACAGGACTACAGATTTAGCATCATTCATTTAAATTCACATAACTAGTACTTACTAAATCAAAAACCAAATTAGCAAAGGCAAGAGAAGGAAAATCATCTACCAGCCATTCAGGGCCATCAAATTCCCACATTAAATGTTAACATGCCTGATTATTAAAAATCAGATGTCTTTTAATTCTGAAATTTGACCAGAAAATACTTATTCCTATAGACTTTGCTAAAAGATCTTCTTAAAATCTGTGAGTCCAAACTTCTGCCAGTTTGCTGATTTTTCTTGGGTTCTGCACTGCCTGGACCTGGGCCTCTGGGCAGAGGTTAGTGTGGACACAGAGAGCTATCGGGAGGTCTTCCTGGGGACAGGACCCTTCTCTGAGAACTAACCAGTTCCCACCCCCACCCCCAGGAAGCACTAGGAGACCAGAAGCCTGACCACACCTGCAGTGGCATCCCAGAAAAGAAAAGAAAAGAAAAGAAAAGAAAAGAAAAGAAAAGAAAAGAAAAGAAAAGAAAAGAAAAGAAAAGAAAAGAAAAGA